GCTTGAAGGTCCATGTAAAACAGGGCCAAAGGAGGACCTGAAGGGTTGCACGGAGTAGGGTGGGATGTGTGAGGCCTGGTGAAAGGCAGTATAGAAGAAGCCCTGTGAGAGGGGTGGTATATATGATATGAGGCCTGAGAAGGGCAGATTGTTGGAGGCCCAGCAAGGGACAGAATTTGGCCTGGCCTTAGGCCAGAGCAGATGCCAACTCAGGATGCCATCTGTGAGGCATGGGACACAGTGTAGGGATGGTATGAAGCTGTGTGCATCACCCTTGACATTAGCACATTAAATTGGGCAGCCTCCTGCATTTTATATCAGTTTATTAAACAGCAAGTTGTGGCAGGAAAGACTAGGTGGACTGTCCTACATGGACAAGAGGGCAGGCTAATGTTGAGACCTAGCCCTGAGCTGGCTTTCTGTCACAGGGGTTTTATCGGAGAACTTGCAATTTTTTAAAATCAGGAAAAACCAGAATCCCTGGTTATGACATGCCATCCTTTTCTGGAACCTACATGGAAAATCCTCAAACAACTGCAACCCATACTAGAAAAAGACCTAATTCTTAAAAGAAGTCTTCCCAGAACCACCCTTCCTAGCCTTTAAACAAGCACCGAACCTTGTTAACCTTGTCATCAGAAGCAAGCTTCCTATTACCCAAACCACACCAAATGGATCCAGACTGTGCCAGGACAAGAAATGTAAAACCTGCCAACACATCTCCTCCACTCCCACAATAACTACACCTCACAACACAACCATTGCCATTCCTGGATCTTATACCTGCACCTCCAGAAATATAATACATCTCATTCAGTGCACCAAATACCCTGATGGAAAATATGGAGGAGAAAGCAAACAACAACTGTGCACCAAATGAACACACACCAAAAATCCATCAAAGACAAAAATATCCAGCTACCTGTGGGTGCCCACTTCTCACAAGAAAATCGCTCCCTCTCTGATTTCTCAATTCTAATCCTCAAAGGGAACTTACAAAACACCTTCCAAGCCTATGAACTTCACTTCATAAAGCTACCAGATACAAAAAATCATGGACTTAAAATAGACATAAGATTTATGACACACTACAAAGTGCCTGACTTCTGATACCCCAACTACCTGCCTCCAGCTGATCACTTGCATTACTTCACACATTTTCCCTCCCTACCCCACCTCCCCTCCTATCTCTACCCATTATCCTCCTAACTTCCTCTCTTTGCATTTTCACAGACATGCTTGTTGTAAACTTAGCTTCTTTTGTACCGTGGAGAACACATAACACTACCAGAATCATCCTATGCCTGAGGAAGGGTGTTTGTCCCTGAAAGCTTGCAAAGAACTTTTTTCCAACTATTAAGTTGCTCTAATAAAATATATCACATCTACCCAAAGAACCTTTCCATTTAATTAAGGACAATCAGCAGCCTTAGGGCACAAACTTATTAATACAAACTAAAGATATATGGGAGGGAAAAAATTGTCGCTAATATAAGATAAATAACTAGCCCTCCAGTCCTGTAAATACTTATGCATGCAAGTAAATTTATGCATGTTGGTTGACTCATTAACATCTGTAAATGTTTGCAGAATTGGGACTTTAGGTTGCTCAATATTTTTTAAAGAACAAAATCACTTTAGTAAAGCCAAAGGTAGAGTTAGTGCCTTATCTTGATCCACAAAAGCAGAGGTTTGCTACTGAATACTATACAAGCCCTTGTTTTTACTTCCAGTTAAATTTATTCCCTGACAGTCTTACTTTTTTCCCTTTGGATTATACCAATAAATGTTTAATTTTTACACTGTCACATCATGGTTGAAAAAGGCCTTAATCTTACATTATAAATAGGTAAGATTGGAGCTGCTCAGATACTCCCTAAGCTAAAGAACCAGAAATCAGTGTGTTGTATTCTGTGTTCACACAGCAGGAAGGAATTGTTAGCCAGGATGTCTGAATGAAATGCTACTACTGAAAGAAAAACAGAACCAGAATAGGGCAGTTAACTAATGCTTCCTACAAGGTGCATTCAGCTATTTTAACCCTCACTAAACTCAGAGGGAATTGAAGCCACCTAGCATCCCACACTTGCAAGGCCTCTTAATGTATCAACAGAGTGACACCAAACACATTGATCATTGTTTATTTTTAGTTATTGATCACAAGTGTCAATAAAATATCATGATTTTACAAACATATCATCAGCTCTAACAGTCTGGATGGGACACAGGGGGTTAAGTTCAAGATTTGCCTGGCCAAGGACCAATCCCTCCCATCAAACCAGCTGTAAATGGGTGCCTGTGCCTGATCCTTCAGGCTAAGGAGTCAAAGGCAACCAGATGTGATGCTAGCCACATCACACACTCATCTTCTGTTGGCTACAGAAACTGCCATTGCCATAACCATGTGAACCTGATGGGCCATCTAATCTGAGGTACCCCTTTAACCCATTCCCCCTCATCCTCCTCATTTTCAAAATGTTTCTGATAATTCCTATCAAGTGTCAGCCTATTAAATTACTCTAAGATCTCATTTTTAAAGAATGCTTTAACACAGTATGTTTTTGTTTAGTGACGAGACACTGTCTTCTCCCTAAGGAGCTAAATTGCTGTAATTAACTAGTTTGTGCACAGTGATTTTATAATGTATTGCCCATATTAAAGATAACTACCTAAAAACTAAATTTTCTGTGAAGCAATGAATGACAAAAGTTTACTTGTTAAATGTTTAAAATTGTTTAAAGAAAATTCAAAGATATTAAAGATATTAATCATATATTTTAGCTTCATACAACAGAAATTTGTTTATTTTTGGAACAGCTTTTAATTTTATTTTTAAAATAAATCCGTTATAGATATTTACCCTAAACCCAACTCTTCTAACAGACCTTTTAGACTTTAGGGTGATTTCAGCATAACTTATGATGTAAGAGAAGTTGCTTTAAGAGGACAGTTCTAATTCAAGAACATGAGTGCCATACTAAGGTAGACCATCTAGCCTAATATCCTGACTTTGACATTAGCAACAGTAGATGTTTTAGAGGAAAAGTATATGTACGGGGTATATCTAGCACAATCCATCTCCTGTTATAGCCTCCCTGGCATCAACAATCATTGATTTAGGGGTTTCAAAGGATACAACCCTCACAGTTCTATTTAACAGCTATCAATAGATCTGTCCTCCATGAATATATCTAATCCCTTTTTTAACTTAGTTATATGACCTATTGTTTATTCACCTGTGCATCCTGATCATTCTTGTATCAAAAGATGTCTTAAGGCCAAAAGTCAAGATTGTGACAGTGAATTAAGTGGCTTGAAATTCAAACATGGGGGGAGCAGCAAATTATGGCCCCAAACTTGAAACACACTCAATGTGGGCAGACACCTGTGCCTACACAGAACCTCATTAACTACAAGGGGCTCCCATGAGAAACAGGGATCTATCCAGAGACGCAACAAATCACAAGGTTGGAGTCCATGTCAGCACAGCATGGAACCAGATCTGAGAATTATGCACCTTTACTTCTTCCTCAACAGTAATGCAACAGGATTTGAAATCTTTTTAATCAGTTGGCACTGTGTCCCGCTGATGATAATGTATCTGGTAATGGTGGATAATTTAAAATATATTTCTTTACTCACAATGATTCCTGGGTAATAGCCTCCCACGGTAACATTTTCTGTTCTTGTGGTAGCTGCAAGGCCTATGGTCAGTATGAAAACAGACACAACCAGCAGAGAAACTGTGAACCAGAATGAAGTTTTCTTTCTTTTTGCAAACTGCCCTGTGTGGGGGAAAAAGAGAGACAGTTTACTATTGCACATTTGGCAGGATATGATATGAAATATAGGGCAAACTTAGCTTATTTATTGTTATCCCCTTCTCCTACTAAGGGAAAATATTTTGCAACTTGTAGAGGGTCATAATGATGTGTAAAGTTTAGATGGAATTTAACAGAATTTAATAGTTCTTAATATACTGTATACACATATAAGATGAGGATTGATTAAACTGAACTGCATGTCAGGGACAACCATATTTATGTGTTTGTGTGATACATCTGTAAGTTAAATATAGCAAACCTTAAAACAAGCCTTGCCCAGCCAGAGCTCCAATTCGGCCCTGTGTGGACAAATAATAAATATGTATTTTAAGCAAGATTAGCACAAGCTCTACGTGTTATTATGAAAATTAATTTGTTCTTGATATTCATTCAGTAAGCAAGCAATTTTTGTTTTATTTTCTTAATTTCTGTTTTATTTTCTTTATTTGCTTATTTTCTGAAGGAAAGCTATACTGCAGCTGATCAGCTTGTGACATATTATGCTTATACCACTTACTGAAACAGGAACAGTCTGGGAACCTTATTGTTTCATCTTAATTTGGACTCAGGTACCCAGAGGTGACTGCAGATTGATATACTACATGAAGCTTGTTCAAAGATATTTAATCTTGTTATTGTAGCAATGTTTTTTTTTTTTTAATTTGAGCAAAAGTACACCTGATTTACAACCATAGTTTACTGAAAAAATTATTATAGAGCTGCTGTCCATAACCTAAAGTTTTGTAAGACATATTTTAAAATAAAATTAAATAAATCTCTAGGGCTAACTAAGAGTACACCCTTTCAAACATTAAAAAATTACTTGGACAAATTGAGGGAGTCTACTGTAAGCAAATGGGGAAGCGAGGAGGGGATAAGGAGAACAGGAGGAACAGCAAAGCATAGAGTTAATAAGTGCATAGAAGCAGTACTGGACAGATTATACCACCAAATAAAACCACATGACATAAGTCAATTTTTGAGTTTCAAGCCCCACTCCAGATAACAGATTAAACTGACAAACCAAGCCAAATAATTTTATGAATAGTTTTAAAATGTATATTCGTTAACATCCTTCAAACAAAACAACAGAAAGATATGTCTTTTTTTAATATTAAATCATCTCAAATTCACTGTAGACAACCTGAAGGGTTAAAGCTCTTCCACCTGCCCAGATAAATTCTTCACATGGAAGATTATAAATTAATTCAGGTAACTCTCCAGCCATCTCCAATCTGCATCTCAACTGTCTCAACTTCTGGCAGTGGCTGCTTAATCTATGGAAAACCATTATGTGTATGGCAAATGAGAGGTGCAGAATAACTCATGCGCTAAAATGCATGAGATTATGGTCGGATCCCCCAATAGCATCCAAGATAATAAAACCAAATTAGTATTGCCTATCTTGGGGTCCCCCCAAAAGAAATCAAAAGACTGTTTTAAAAATCCCATGACTTTTAACAATAATTGATGTAGGGCAGCTCTCTCTTGCTTCCTGGTTTTTTACTTCTTAAATTTTACATTTTCCCCTGCAATCAGGGGAACTAGAAACTTTTTCTTTTCTTTTTTTAATACAAGTGAAAACTGGGATTCTAAAATAAATCTCATAATTTTTGGAACCAGGGCTTTAAGAACAAACACCACATATTTTGTGAGAAGGTAGAAAGTTGCAGACCCAGAATAAGCATACTGACACCCTTCAAAGCTCTGTAGGTAAATCTAGAGACACACAGGAGCATAAAGGCCAACCCAATAATATTCTCCTTGGGAATATTAAATTCCCAAGGCAATAATCCAAGAGGACAAATAGCACAAAAAGAACACAATAGGATAAAAAGGAGGATCACTCTAATAAACGCCTTCCATTAAAGTTCTCTAACAAACTGACAAGATAAGGAGTAGAAGGTGAAAGGAACTATAAAAGGGAAATAGACACATTTTATAAAGAATTAGTTTAGATATTCAAAAACTCGACAAAGCCTGAAAAGCTTTATTCATATAGATAGGAATGGGTAATTATGCAAAAACTGTGTGAAAAAACTACTGTGCTTCAAAAGGCAACATTTGAGAAGTCACAGTATTCACAGAAAAAGTTATCTTAAGTGTGCTACCTTTTATAGCAATTTCTCTAGCAATGATTTTCAATGAATGCTACTATTCAAGAATGACCAACATCACTACAACCAACAACCCTGCAACTATTCAAGAATGACATTTCATTTCAATGAGGAGAGAGAACTGAAGCATGACTCTAAAACGGCCAGCATACAGGAGGGTCAGACCAGTCTTCTCAATTTGGAATCTTTATCCCATGTGCCACTCTAAAGCCAGCAAAATCATCTCAGAAAGTATAACAAAGTTTTACAATCAGTCTGCCTCTTCAGAATCAATAGTTTCTTTAAAAATATATTGGTTCATGTTCAAAATGAAGCTTAGTATGTAAACTACTGAGCAATTTGGCTTACTGATCATCATCAGGGATCTTTGTTTTCCCCGAAAAAAAAATCACAAATTCTCTGATAAAACTCCCAAAATCCATAATTAAAATGAAAGGCCACTATATATAATATACACACACACACACACACTCACACACACAGGGTCTTTATAAAGTCCTTGTGCACAACCTAAGTTATTGTTTAAAAGCGCACAAGGACTTTATGAAGACACTGTATATAGGTATTAGTTGAAAACAAAGTTTTCTTGATATATTTACCATTTTTAAAAGCAATTTGAAAGCCGACCAGTGCCTCAATCACTATAATAAAATACATTCTAAATACCTATAAATTTATAGGATTTGATTTTGGGTTTTTTTATCATGGAAAATCAGAGCTCCCTCTGCCCCCTTAGGTCACAGAACACAGGTCCAGGCCCCTCACTCCCAAGCCACAGTCCCCAGCCCTCCTAGAGCCCCCACCCAGCCCTGCCAGAGGGGGCCCCCAGCTGCAAGGGCTATGGGGCCAGGGACCCAGCTCCACAGCTCCCTGCACCCAGCAGCAGTGCTGGAGCCCCAGCTGCCAACTCCAGGAGCCAGCGGCTGCTGCAGTGGAGCCTGGAGCCCATTTCCCCTACCCCCGTTGCCTGCCCACTGCAGGCTTGGAGAAGAGGTGGATACAGCTCCCTGCTGCTGCATGCACTCCCAGGGGGGCCATAAGGGGCCTGCGCCCCACCAGATCTGTGCATGGGGTGGGGGCAGCGACAGACATTGGATGCCTGCTGCAGGCTCAGACTCCCTGTCCTGCAGCCCTCCCCTGGGGTCTCCACAGCCAGCAAGTACAACCCAGCAGTGCAGGACAGAGCAGAGATCTCCCTGCCGTTGCAAGCTTCACGCTGCCCGGGTGAGGCGTCCCCTCCTCACAATGGCAAGGAGCTTCCCCGGCCAACCCTGCAGCACTGAGTCACAGCTGCGGGACTGCGGAGGCCCCAGGAGAGGACAGCAGGGGGGGAGCCTGAGCAAGCAGCAGGCAGCCCACGCCTGCCCCAGCCCCATGACAGATATGGGGGGCACAGGTCCCCCCCGGGAGTGCACGCAGTGTGGAGGAGCTGGCCCCACCCCCCACCCCCAGGCAAGCTGCCCACAGCCCCATCCCATTACCTCCTGGGCCCTGTAGCTGCATATTCCAGCTCTGGGCCACATGCCATCCAGCTGGGCAGCAGCCCCAGCCCTACCCAATTCCCTCCCCCCTTCCCTCCCTATGGGGGCCCCATTGCCTGCAGAGAGCAATTTACAAAAGTGCAAAATCTGTGGGTTTCTCTGTTAAAATGAAAAATCCACATTTTCCTTGGGTAAAGGGGGCAATCCGTGATTTTTCTCCATTTTTCCATGGAAAATGGAAAACCCGGATCCCTGCAGATCACATATTGCCTCAGAACTCACTGTCTGTATAAAGCTACTAGTAAATCAAAAAGATTTGTAGAACTTACACTGTAGTCAGTTTTGAACACAAGAAAACCATCTATCAATGGAAACTTCATGAATAAATTTAAAGCAGGATATATTGTTTTGCCTAAAAATATACATGTAGGTTTTTTACAATGTCTGATTTTTTATTTATTTATTTTTTTTAAGTATCACGGGTATCAAGACTGTAAAGACTTTAGTAAGTACACTCCAGTAAGAATACTGTGGTACTCATCCTGACCCACATTTCAAGTGCTCCAATACAGCCCCAGCCGCAAGACATTTTAGCCACCCACTATTTATGAACAATATAAAACTGAGTATTTTTATTTTAAAATTTACAACATGCTTTTCATCCTAAAAGATCTCCAGCCTCTCAAACTGCATAAATACAGCACTAGTAAAATGGAGCATCTGTTGGAGGTACAACAGCTAGTGTAATGTACCTGCTACCTAGTGAAGATCACTGAAGTAGCAGTTGAATTAATTTTGGCCAAGGTCACCAAAGAAGAGAGTAATACTTTCAAAAGCATCTAAAAGTACCATTCCTACTTTATTGAGAGGTGTGACTGCAGTAGATGTAGATATATACCTGAGCTAGTTTTAATCTACAAAGCTCAGGTAATAAGATCTGTGAAGATCTGACCATCAGTGTGGGCTATACATACCTACCAGTGTGGGCACTTAGCCCAGCAACAAACCTTCCTGGAGGAGGCTCCCACAATTTCAGTAGTATTAAGACTTAAGTTAAGTGGAAATAAAACCGTACATTGCCAGTTTTTACAAGGTCATTCATCAGAACAGGACTCTGCTTTAACCTTGAAGTCACATTTGCCAGAAAGTGAAACAAATTTATGTCTGCGATCCCATTCAAGGCCTCACATAAATTAAGCTCCACACCAAAATAAATGTAAGTGTCCAATAATTTTTTGTTTTGTTTTGTTCTGATGTGGAAGTTTGTTGCTAGGGTCATAACCACAACTAAACAGCAATGCAAATCCATCTTCAGCAGAGGAGTTTGACAGAGATGTGTCCCCTTGGAGCAGGTTAATCAATC